GGGGGTCAAGGGTGAGGTGGGCGTGGCCAGCAGGGGTGGCTTTGGTTAGCTGTGATGGAGGTCACTGGGGCTTGGCCTGGCAGGTCACACCTCCACATCGGGGAAGAGGAGGAAGCCTGAGAAGATGCTGTTGGCCCCCTCCATGCCCAGCATGGAGTTCTTGTCGGTGGCCTCTAGGTAGACCATCTCACCCTGGTCCAGCTTGAGCACCACACCGCCCGTGGTGACCTGGAAGGTGTTCTGGGCATAGTCGCAGAAGGTGACCACCTTCTGGGGCTGCTCCCGGCCCCGGACGAGGTTCACACACAGGTTCCCGCGAGAGCTGGCATGGTAGCTGAAGTAATAGAGACCTGGCACCTGGCATGTGAACTTGCCACTGCGAGGCTCATAGTTCCTGCTCATGTTGGTGATCACACTGTCGAAGCGGATGACTTGCTTTGGTCTCAGGGGAGTGTTGAGGGTCTTCAAGGCAGAGAAGGCTACTTTCTGTGTGGCCTTGTAGTCTCCAGATTCACCCTTAGGACCAGGGCCTCCAGGGAGACCTGGGATTCCTTTAGGGCCGATGGGGCCCTTGGGACCGACTTTTCCTGGATTCCCGGGAATCCCTGGGTCGCCCTTCTCACCAAACTCACCATGATCTCCAGCTAGCCCTGGGACCCCTGGAAAAGCAGAGGCAAGAGAGATAAGGAGGCCAGAGACCACTAAGGGCCAAGGATGGAGCCTAGGCTGGGACATTGGGCAGATCCCTGCTTTTGTCTGAGTCTCCGATTCCCAACTGTAAAAAAGTGAAGGTGTCAAAGAGGGCTTTCAGGCCTCCTTCCAGCCCAGCTTTCTGAGCCTGGGACATGCTTGTGGTAAAGGTATGGATGCTTGTGGCGGGGCCGGGGGTGGTGGTGCTCCCCTGAGGAGGCTCCCATTCGGCTCAAGCCTCGAGCAGGCTCGATGAGTGCACAGCAAGCGTACCACTTCTTGCCCAAGGCAGACATCCTTAATCAACCGCAGCACATGTACTGGCTGCCTCTGGACTCCAGGCCCCCCTCACTTCACCACTCCGAGTTTGGAGCCTCACCCTCTCCGTTTTACATGAGGACAGTGGCTGGGACTGTGAGCCCTGGAGACAGAAGGTGCGCATCTCACATCACACCTGCCCTTACTAGCTGTGTTAGGTGTGGGGCTCCTCTGCCTCATCTGTGAAATGACGATCATCGGTGGGATCCTGAGGGTCAAGTGAGATTATGTGAGGAGGGGCCAGCACAGAGGGCTGCTCCCAAACCGGATATTAAATGGCATTTTAGAGGAGTCTCATTGGAACCCCACCTTAACCCCGCAAAAGTCAGAGCCGTTCCACCTGCTCTGGAGGTAAAGGCATGCACAGGACTATGGGGCCGTGGCGGTGGTCTCTCTGTACCCGGACAGGCTGGGAAGAGATCCGAGGTCTGCTCTGGGCCTCAACTGGACTAACTCGAGGAAGTCAGTGTTCCTATCTCTAAGATGGGAACCAGCATTCCCTCTTGGCAGTTAATGGATGGTCAAGTGCTTTTGCAACCTCTAAGGCAGCAACTGTGACTGGGGAGGTGCCAGAGGTCTTGGTCTGTGGCACTAGGGTGTCCCTACTTTACCTTTCTCTCCTTTGGTTCCTGGGGTTCCAGGTTCGCCGTCAGAGCCAGGTATCCCAGGGAGGCCAGGGACGCCAGGGATGGCTGGGTGCCCAGTGCAGCTGCTCTGGGCCCAGGAGGCATGGAGCAGAACTGAGAGCAGCAGCAGCCGTGCTGAGATGTCACCCCATGGGGTCTTCATTGCCGCGCTGTTTCAGCCGTTTCCTGAAGGGGGAGATATTAGGGTTAGTATCGCGGGGATGACGTTCATTCACCATCCATCCATCCATCCCATGTCCATCGAAGGTCACTTACCCACCAGGCCCTGAACTAGGTCCTGGGGACACAGTGACGAACGACAGAGACGTGGTCCCTGCGCCCCTAGTGGGGAAACAGAATAATCAGGTCAACGCACAAGTAAATAATAAAAACCGTTACAGGCTTCTTCGACCCGGCGGCGGCAGAGAGGAAAAGGTGCCCCGAAGGACAGTGGCTGGGCTGGGGGTGGGAGGGGGCTAGTGCTTCCCCAGGGAAGGTCTCTCCCCAGGAGACAAGTGACGTCTAGGCTGAAACCTAGAGGTTCAGAAAGGGCAGGGACAGAAATGTCCCGGGAGGAGGGAGAGGTGGGAAGGTCCCGAGGTGGAAGTTGGGACCCTTGAGACTTAGCAGGGCCGCAAAGCAACAGGAGGGGAGACCGCAAGGCGACGGGGCCGCTGTGAGTGCTGCGCTATATTTTGCCGATTTTCATTCATCAGAGCCTCTGCGTCTGGGGCGCATTCATGCTGTGGGCCACCCCTGTTATTTCTGAACCAGAGAGGACACTGAGGCTCGGGGAGGTGGGGTCACTTGCTCAGGGTCCCACGATAAGGAAAGGAGCCGGTGTCCCTGCCTGCTGCCTTCCCATCCCCCCTCTCCCCCCAGCCCCAGCTTGGGGGCCGACTTGAGCAGCGGAGCACGGCCCTCAGCACCATGGCCCGAAAGGGCCGTGTCCGCCGAGTCCATCCCTCAGCTGCAGCTGCTGCTGCTGCTTCTTGTCGCCCTCCTCCCCTTCCTCCCCTCTTCCCCCGCCTCCTCTTCCTCCTCCTGCTTCTTCAAATTCAGACAGCAGTCTTATAACGTGAAATCGACCAGGTAAGCTCGTTCTGTGTGTGTGGTAACTTTAACACATTCACCATAGCGTGCAACCGTCGTTTCCAACTAGTTCTCAAACGTCCTTTTCACCCCAGAGTAAAGCCCTACCCATTAGGCAGCTTCCCCAGTCCCTGACAGTCACAGATCTGCTTTGTCTCTGGGGACTTCATCTAGGTGGCATTCTTGATATGAATGGAATCCGACTGAACTCTTGTGTGTCTGACTTGTTTCACTTAGTGGCTTGTTTTCCAACAAGTAAGCAAGTATCAGTACTTCTTTCCCTTTTGTGACAGAATAATATTCCATTGGGGCCACGGATTTGACTCAGTGGTTCCTCTGCCTGCCTCACGAGCAGAAGGGCCCGAGTTCGATCCCTGGTACCACAAAAAAAAAGAAAAAAAAAAAAAAAAGAAAGAAAAAAAA